CTCTCAAATTTCCAAATTCTCAAATTTCTCATCTCTCCAATTTCCAATCTCTCAAATTTCCAATCTCTCAAATTTCCAATCTCTCAAATTTCCAATCTCTCAAATTTCCAAAGTCTCAAATTTCCAAATTCTCAAATTTCCAATCTCTCAAATTTCCAATCTCTCAAATTTCCAAACTCTCAAATTTCCAAATTCTCAAATTTCTCATCTCTCCAATTTCCAATCTCTCAAATTTCCAAACTCTCAAATTTCCAAATTCTCAAATTTCTCATCTCTCCAATTTCCAATCTCTCAAATTTCCAAACTCTCAAATTTCCAAATTCTCAAATTTCTCATCTCTCCAATTTCCAATCTCTCAAATTTCCAAACTCTCAAATTTCCAAATTCTCAAATTTCTCATCTCTCCAATTTCCAATCTCTCAAATTTCCAAACTCTCAAATTTCCAATCTCTCCAGTTTCCAATCTCTCAAATTTCCAATCTCTCAAATTTCCAAACTCTCAAATTTCCAATCTCTCCAGTTTCCAATCTCTCAAATTTCCAATCTCTCAAATTTCCAAACTCTCAAATTTCCAATCTCTCCAGTTTCCAATCTCTCAAATTTCCAATCTCTCAAATTTCCAAACTCTCAAATTTCCAATCTCTCCAGTTCACCCAATCACCCAAACATCCAAATCCCTCTTCGACCAAATTCCTCCCATAAAAACCACAATTCCAAAAATCCCGATCTAATTCTTCCCAACCAAGAAATACCAAATTCCCGAGTGTACACGAGGCTCGAGATGGCTAAAAAAGGAGAAATATAGACAGAGAGCTTAATCCCTATTCATAGACTCAATCGAGTGATTTCGAATAAATCCTGGCAGCGTTCCGCGAAATCCGCTGCAATTAAAATACTTTAATATCCTTTGGAGCACGTACCCGCTCCGGGCTATGCCTTCTTCCGACCACATCGTTTTTCCCTTACCCCCTCGACTTGCCTCGCTTTCAGACACCCGCGTTTTCAACCCCTCCTTACCCTCCCTCTATCTTTATCCACGATCCCAATTTCTTTTTTTTTTGGGGAGAGTGCTCTTATTAAACGCCCCAATCCGAGTGCCCCAAGGTATCGGGGAAGCACATTTGCTTTCCTTCAAAGCGTCCTTTATCATTGAACCAACTTTACGCCAGACATTTTCTACGTCTTTCAAAGATGCAAGTGTCTCCAAGATTTAACATTTGACTGGGCTTTTTTTACTTCTCTCTCGATTCTCTGACATTCTTCAAAAAAATTTGTGGAATTATTATTCTGAAAATGTTCAAGACTTGTTTTTTGAGATATTTAAACTTGTTTATATTTCATGAAAAAAAGAATTGTCACTGAACTGTAGTTACAATTTTTAAGATTCCTAAATTACTTGCATTTTTACAAGATTTCAATGAAAAATAGCAATGAAAAAAATATACAATATAAATTTCAGAAATATCTAATATTTTTACAACGGAAGTTTATCTTTGAAGAAATGTATTATTACAAAGATCCACAACTTTGAAACTTTCCAATTTCAAATGCATGTATAACTGCCTTCGAATTTAAAAAATACACAGCGATATAAATATACACATAAATGTAATGTAAATATACATTTGAAAAATAGTAAAAAATAAGTACGCAAGCTAATTTCCAATTCCCAGCAGAAAGATTCATAAATAACGAAAAAAGGAGTAAATCGCGAGCAGTTGGAGCACTCGGGGTTGTTGATGTAAAGATTTATCGGGTAAATGCGGAAGCGTGTATCTAGCGCACTCATTCATCGCCGATGCGATCAATATGTAATGATCGCTATAAAGTGCACCGGTTAAGGCCGAAGATACTTTAAATGAAAAGAAGGATAAATTTATCACGGCCCCGTCGAACGATTTATCACGACGATACATTCGAGCTGCGGACGTTCTGGAGAACGTACGATGGCGTCAGCTGCGGGAAACCGCTTCAGGGGAAGTAGATCCCCATCCGATCATTGTTCATACGGAGCTAGCATATAATACGATAGTGCCCACAGTCAAATATATATCTATTATACCAAAGTGAGATCCTAGCACTTTTTCTTCGCGATGTCCCTCAATTTCTTATTTTTAGGGTGGCTAAATTTCGACTTTGTAAGTCAAGGTTTTCTAACGTGAGTGACGTCTTCTATTGCTGCTTTTGTTCTATTCTTTATGGGGGAAGTAAATGAAAGGGCTCTGTCAGTTATGTAGACTAACAGATTAATATTAACACTAGGTTTATATTGATTAATACTGACCTTTGATGGTCACATATTTAAATTTGAACTACAGCAGAAAAAGAGAGAAATTGGGGATGATGCGTGAGCTGCCTAAGACATCTTCACAAAAGTTGACATGTATTTTTACAAAAATTTCTTAATAAGTCATTTAAAATAAGACCTATAATTCTGACATGTTTTTTGTAAAAATTTCTCAAGAAGTTCTGTCATTTGCGAGAAGACTTATAATCCTGACATACAATTTTACAAAAATTTCTTAACAAGTTCTGTCATTTAAAATAAGAATCTTATAATCCTGACATATAAAATAAAACCTGTAATCCTGACATATTTTTTACAAAAATTTCTTAAAAAGTTCTGTCATTTAAAATAAAACCTTATTATAAAAATTTCTTAATAAGTTCTGTCATTTAAAATAAGAATCTTAATATCCTGATATATTTTTTACAAAAATTACTCAATAATTTCTGTCATTTAAACCAAGAGATCTCCGCCATTTTGACAGCTTACATCTAGTATCAAACTAAACATACTCAGAAAAAATCTAAAAATCCCCAAATTTCTACACATAAACCCTTAAGTCTTAGAAGATAACACTTGACTTAATAACGATAGCCCTAACAAGTAAAAGCGTCGTTAAACAGTGCAAGCACACTGAAATACTATTTATGTCCTCAATGTTTTTTGGCCCGCTAATTATCGCGCTCGAGGACTGTAAAGCTGAGTAACAGTTTTTTAGGAACATTTATACGCGCCGTTGAAATGAATAAACTTCACGTAAACTCGTGTCTGTGGACTGCTTCCTGTCTTAATTACTTTCTACTTTTTCTTTCGGCAAGGCGCGGAAAAACTCAGGCGTTGCTTCTTTCACGAGTAAGTAGCTGGTTGCTTGTGTTGAAGCGATATCTCTTTTCACGGGAAGAATCTTTTTCACAAATTTTATATTTCACGCTAAATCTATTTTATACATCTCATTAACGTCTTTATAGGAACGAGTAGATTTTAGACGAGTTTTTGAGTACTGGAGGAATGGATAATTGATCATTTGTTCGTATCAAGTTTTAAATATTCGATGAGAGTAATTGCAATTTTCTCGCCGGTTTGAAATAGGACGCGGATAATGGGTTTTCGAGTGGCTCTTGAACGAACCAAATTTCGATTCGATGGAGATTTTGTGTCGTTTCAAAGGATTATTTGGAGAGGAAAGTTAGGGGAAATATTCTGGATAATTGGTTTGGGATTTGGCGGGTTTGGGATTTGGGGGGTTTGGGATTTGGGGAGTTTGGGATTTGGGGAGTTTTGGATTTGGGATGAGTGGAATTTGGGGAGTTTGGAATTTGGAGTGAGTGAAATTTGGGGTGAGTGGAATTTGGGGAATTTGGGATTTGGGGTATTTGGGATTTGGGATGAGTGGAATTTGGGGTGAGTTAAATTTGGGGTGAGTGGAATTGGGGGTGAGTGGAATTGGGGGTGAGTAGAATTTGGGGAATTTGGGATTTGGGGAGTTTGGGATTCGGGGAATTTAGAATTTGGGGAATTTGGGATTTGGGATGAGTGGAATTTGGGGTGAGTGGAATTTGGGGAATTTGGGATTTGGGGTATTTGGGATTTGGGATGAGTGGAATTTGGGGTGAGTTAAATTTGGGGTGAGTGGAATTGGGGGAGAGTGGAATTTGGGGAATTTGGGATTTGGGGTGAGTGGAATTTGGGGTGAGTGAAATTTGAGATGAGTGCTACCCCAACCTCCAATTATAAAATTCCACGACTCAAACTTTGAATTAAAAAAAAAGTGTCAAAACATCCCCAAAAAGTTCTAAACTTCCAGTCAAACAGCATGTACCTACACGCTCCAAGTCACAATTTAAAAATTAAATCCAAACTATAAATCACGTCTGAAATCACCAAAGACCAAACTCCATGTCTAAAGGTTAACTCTCGTCAGAACGAAAGTTTGCTCGTAGAACTCGGTATCGTATGTTTTTTTCTCTCTAACTTCCTTGTCCTGTTCGATTCCGTTTCTTTCGAGCCCTCGTTGTCCAACCCTCACACCTTCGTCCACTGTTGTTCCACATTTGAAACGCGGTTTGAAGCTGCTGGTAAATCCGACAGCTGCGTCGAATCCTGGTTCTCGTCAAATCGCAACGGGGGTGGGCTAAAAACAACGCGCGAGAGAAATGCCTATGGCTGGATGAAAGTTTCGCGAACGACTTTCGAGAAACGGATACCGAGGGATCCTCCCCTTTTCTTCTTTCTTTTGTTCGGGAAATATAGCCTGGCTGCTTGGAACTTGTTGGTTCTTTTATTTGTTTCTTAGGTCTCAAGATGGGCGGATCGCGTGCGGTAATTTGATTAACCGGAAATAAAATCGATACGATCGGCTGGCGAAAATGAACCAAATTCGTGGGTGAATTCTATTGGATGCAATAAAAATCTATACCGGCGTATAATGTGTACCTAATTTGACATAAAGAATGAAGTCAAAAAATAAATAAGCAAACGACAGAACATAAATTTGTACACACATTAATTCTTCATCTTCATGGAGGTCAATGCAGATATCAGAAAAATCAGTTCAATAAACTGTGTAATTATAATAAGGATCTTGTGGAACGATCATTTCACCGGTTTGGTAGTTTTAGTGTTAATGATGGTTATTTTTTTGTGGAAATGTATGTGAACCACGCAACCAGTCTATTAATTTCTATACTGAACGTTCTGTTCGTTTGCGTTTCAGACAATGGACGGCCTATCGAGCAGGGCGACGACGGATGGTTGAACTTCACAAAAATCACCAGAACCGACAGCGCTTGGTACAAATGTTACACCAAGCATAAGCTCGGGATATTCACCAGCATCGGTTATTTCCTCAATGTTCGATGTGAGTACACTTCATGTTGGGAACAAACTTTCCTGATGATTTCATATTTTTTATATCTTTTTATAATATTGAAACTGGTCGTTTGACAGTTTTCTAAAGTACACCCTTGAGAATTTTTAAATATACGACCCTGAAATGTAGGTAGACCTTAAAATGTCCTAAATGTATGACCTTAAAGTATCCTTAAAATTTTGTAAATATGTAATCTTGAAATTTTTTTAATTTATTACCCTGAAGTAAACAACCTTCAGATTTCATAAATGTCCTAGAAATTTTACGAATTACCTTAAAATTTTATGAATAACCTTAAAATTTTGTAAATATGTAATCTTGACATTTTTTAAATTTATTACCCTGAAGTTAACAACCTTCAGATTTCATAAATGTCCTAGAAATTTTATGAATTACCTTCAAATTTTATGAATAACCTTAAAATTTTGTAAATATGTAATCTTGAAATTAATCTATGACCCTGAAGTAAACGACCTTGAAATTTTATGAATTAAAATTTGATAAATTATCTTAAAATTTCGAATACATATAACCTCAAAATTGTATAAATATTTGTCCTAAAAATATATATCAACCTTGATAAATATAATCTCTGTAACCTTGAAAGTCACTTCACTGTCAAACACCCCCGAAACGAGTAAATAATCGATAACTCGGATGAAAGTAATCGACAGTGTCAAGAAAAAGAGTAGAGTAATCGATGGTCGAGCAGACGCGTTAATTCGAAATGCGAGGGCGTCGTCGTCGCAGCCAATAACCGGAAACCACAGTCATTTGTCAAGTGCGGAAACCGCCGAGCCAAACGGAAATTATCTGTGCCCTGTCGTGAAAATTTGCAAATTTCCTACCCTCGTCGTGGTTCCTTCCATCTCGTCGTTATAACACAGAAGACAGAAAGAGAAAGGCGGAGCCAGGGATACGTCGCTCCGTTTTGCATCTCGAATCACCGACATTTCCACCCCCTTTTCGACGTTGCCTCTTCAGCTTCCGTTTACACCCTCGACCGACGATCCTGGATACGGGTTTCCGAGCACCTAATCTCTACGCAATTTAGGTGGCTCGAGAGCACCTATAAACTAACCATCCTCCTAAGGAATTATCGATTACACCGTTACCCGCGTCCTGTTCGAATCTCCTGGCCGGATTACTCGCCCGCGGATAACGTCGACCAGGGTTTTAAACGGTGCACACCAATTTCGGCCAATTCCAGATAGCGGAAGAGGAAGGGCTGCTTTTAAAGGAACTCGGACAGAGTGTTGTTTCGTAAATTGATTTCCGGACGCGAAGACCATATTTGTCATGAAGACACAATGTCAAATGAAGGGACTGTATATCAAATGTATGATGTTAACATGATATCAAAATTTAACAGACTAAGAAATAAAAAAACGAAGTATCAATATAGATGTTATTTATCGAATTTTTATTATTCTACTCTTCATTATTTTCCACGTTATAAATTGTAAATGGAATTTAAATGAACAGATAACAAGAATAACAAGTTGAAACAAATTGAAGTAAATTGCAGCAGATGTAAATATATCAAATAAATTGAATTAAATTTAAATAAAATGAAACGGGCAAAACATTTAAAATAAATGATAGCCAATTTTAAGAACGAAATAAATATTAATAGTATATCGTTACAGGTAAAATCGAATATTACGACTCGTAAACAAATTATCTAACAACTTTGACTGGTCGTTAGATCGTCTTAACAATTACATGTTAACAAGACCGGGATCGTTCGTATGCTTGTTATAAATATACTGTGCTTGTTAGAAGGGATTCTCCAATAGTTGTTAAAGTTTGTATCGCCGTTGAATACAGAGAACACGAAAAGGACGAAGTTAGAGTAAGGAGGATAGTGATAGTCTCTGAAGTTAGCGGTTAGTTAGTAGTTAGTCAATCAGTTAGCAATCAGTCATTAACCGGTATTACATGGAATTAGATGCAATCAGGCTTCCAACAATCTCCTGTTAGTCAATACACAAACTCATAAGCCTTCATCAGATGAATGTGCAATCAAGCTTGCTTTACATTCTCAAAGAAAGTTACTTGCTAATTGAACGTTGGTTAAGTGTCCACTTTGATATATTACAATTACACGCCTCGTAGATTCGTTGGTACATACACTTTGTTATATTCTATCAATTACCTTCATATTTTCATTTTAACACTCAAAATAATTTTCTCTTTCACTTAAAAAATATGTATAATTTAAATGTACATAAACAAATGACGTTAATAAATGTAATACAAAAAGTTTATATAAATTAGAACATGGCTGTGTCCACCCTGAATTCAATTGCTTTCAACTTTCTATTTGAAATGAATAATAATTTTATTTAGAAATAACTGTAATAATAATGATGTAGAAATTTGTACGTCTTAATTAATAATAATTCTATTGTCTTAATTAATAATAATTCTATATTCAATCAGTAAATCATCGCTGTTTATCACGGTGATAAACACTGTAACATAGTGTTAGGTTAGTAGTGTTTACCTGTATACACTACCGTCCATAAGTATCCGGACACTTGGTTTCGTTACATAAAACATAGTTGAACTTTGTACGAAAGGTATTTAGGGTTATCATATCATTTGTAATAATTATTATTATCTTTTTTGAGGTGTCCTAACGTAATAGAATTAATTTTTAAGTACAAATTATACAATGAAAGTGTGAAAGTAAAATTCATGTCCAGAAGTACAAAGTCCAAATTTGTGAATCTAATGAAACGCTTTCGATTCTGAAAAAAATTTTACTTTCCACTGTGTTTCATTTCTGTGGTGCAGAACGTATTCAGAGGGTTCTTCGATA